CGCAATAGCGAGGGTACACTGTATCTCTGATTCTCAGTACTGTAGATGTAACATTTTTACTGAATTTATTAGCTTGATTTTGGGCAAGTACATTGTAATATAGGGCAAGTAAGAATGTTGGTCATACTTGCCCTTGGTCAAGTAACATTTTTCATAAATTTTCAACCCCAATTCATTGATTACAGAAATAGCTTCAAAGAGTGGAGATTCCAGGGTAAAATTGGTCCTCAGTAGCACCTGCTGGTTAGGTCCTGCAACTTACATCATTCCATATCATCGTGCCCCATTGTTTATCTTATAAGTCACAGGTTTACCTGGTCTGGCCTTGTATAAGTCCTCACTGTATTACGTGCGAAAAAAAATAAAAAATTCAGCTGTCAATTTTTGTAAATTCTGCACACAATTCTGCAAACTGTAATGTTTAGTTTTCGTGAATTTCATAATTTTGCATATGTTATGTTGCCTTGTCACAGGCATATTTATGACAAACTTATCCACGGCTAGAATAGCTTATTGAAGTGAATCTTGAGATCACTAGTTTAAACATACAGACATGCACTTCTGTAAGCAATCATATGAATCAACTTCACTTTAAAACGAAGTCAATATCTTGGTACATCTTTAGATCCAGCTTTTGACTCACATGTTGAAATTCTGCAGTGCATATGACGAATTCTGCAATGATAAATGCAAAATTCTCCATGAGTTCTGCTCAAAATGTGATTTTTCTGCAAGATAGGTACATTTCTGCACAGAGTGTGCATTTCTGCAAAATACTCTGTGAGGATAGAAGGGACTGTTGTATTTTTATGGGCCGCTGGGATATTGCTGGAACACTAAAGACTGCGATGTTAACCTAAAAAAAAATTCACTCGCTCAGTCACAAGACAGAAGTATTGAAAGTTTCAGTACTAATCTTTCATTTTTTTTCGTTGTCAACCAGTATTGCCATTTTATAATGTTGTCAATAATCCAGACTTCAGATTGCGAGATGGGTTGATGAATAAACGAGACTACTATTATGTCATCAATATGGAATGTTTATGTAAACAGCGTGAAGCATGTGCTATTTCAGCGGTAAAAACTAACATTTTTGGTCCACTAGTCCTTATATAGTGACATATAGCAAAACAATAAAAACTGGGCAATTTTTACTACATGTAGTTCCTATTATACCTTAACTATTGGGCAGTGCCTATTTCTAAGGCTGCTGTTTTCATCGTTTAGATAGGAAGCCAGTCCATCCAAATGCCTGAAGATAGATATAAATTACATTTATCTAATTATATAGCAATCAGTGTTAGAAATTGCCACTAATCCTATGGTCCTGGCCAAACTGTCTAATAGTTAGTAGTCTATGGTATCATAAGGACTAGTACTAGTAGAAATCGAATACACAAGGGTCGTATTGCGATACATGTATTGCAGACAGCTGTATTGCAATATACCGATACACTACTGTGACCAATTATATCACACTCGTAGATGAATGTTATCCACAAAAGTTATTTGTATGTTTAAGTTATTTATATGTTATCACTTTTCAGACAAGTAAGCATTTCAGGTCATGGTGTTCTGACTAGTTGAAATAATCAAATATTGTTCAGAAGGTCTATATAACAAAACAGTCAAATTCAAGTTTCCATATTCAGACAAAAATTATTTGTTTCCTCTGTACTCTGAGATGGTTTTGTTTCTTGAGAAGAAGAATTCAAAACTTCAGGGTTTTACCTTGACTTAACTGAAAGGGTCCTTGCTGGCAATGCGAGAGTCCTGTAAAGTAATAAAATGGTGTCATGCACTGTATGTTGTGCTACTTACTAAATTAGAGCTGGTATTGTATCAATGACGCTGTATATTCTTTTTCTGCTTCCAATCTCAACATTTGTGCATCACATAAAACCCTGCTACTGAATATTTTGCACTTGGAAAAAGATCAGGGCCAGTGTCATGTTTTTGGAACTAAACTGCTGAAGTAGATATTTGTTCTTGTTCTTGTTATGTGAGATCTAGCTTTACTAAACTTGCATTGAATAAAAACAAAATGATGCTACCTACTTAATTATGATGGTTGGTCATTTGGGATGATCCAATCATCAATCATGAATTTACAACCAATTTATGACCTACTTTCAGGTTCAATCGTTGACACAATGAATTTGTTGGGTATGAAGCCAAATACTTGTGTTTTCAGCTCACTTGGACCCAACATGCATTAGTCAGTTGGTAGGGTTCTTTTGTATTTTATGAAAAAAACTCAGATGGCTTGTTTAGGACAGGTGTTTGTTGCAATGTTTCTTGAATTTTTTGGTCAAAGTAACTACACCCCGATACTATGTGGACACATATATAATCAGCAATTAAAACTAACAGATTGAGTCCACTATATAATGACATGTAAGGGCACATTTATTCTAGTTCTTATGATACCTAAGCTATTGAGCAGTTTGGCAAGGACTATGGGACTGGTGCCAATTTCAAACACTGATAATATTTTCCATATGTAGAATATGGTAAACTTTGAGATCTACGATAAAATCATTTGGCCTGCAAGTGTAAGAATGGGTCAGTCAGTTTTCCTAAAACGCAAGTAGACTTTGGGTAGGGATTTGAAGCGAGTTTAACATGTAAAAATGAATGTAATCCATTTATTTTTCTTCTCTACTACAAGAACACTGGAACATGCACTTTCAATAAACACACTGTTTTGTTAACTGTATGTGTGTAGGCATACATACCAAATTCCTACCAGTAAAGTCTTGAAATGGTCTTCAACATGTTCACCAACCCATGCTTGTCCTAAGTGGCAACTAACATATTCGGGTGGTCAGACTTACTTGGTTGATGCATGTCGTTGTATCCCAATTCAGTAGATCAGAGATCATGGTGTCAATCACTGGATTGTGTGTTCCAAACGCGATTATTTGCAGTGTCATCACTGAAATATTCCTGAGTGCGGCATTAAACAACAAACAAACTAACAAAACAACATTCCTTATACCACATTTCTACAAGTGGTTTTGGTCAGGCGAAGTCAGCAGGGAGTTAGATCAGAGGTTGATATTGGCTCAAGTATCTGCAGCAAATGAAGGGAGAGAATCCCAAATGTTTATTAGCAACCTTTAAAATTATGTGAAGAAACAATACGGCCCAACAGTCTAAGAAGCTTCAATTTGCTGTGCAGAGTTTAGTTCCTTACGCTTGCCTGTAACATATGATCATCAGCGTTAGAAATTGGCACTAGTCCTGTAGTCCTTGTAAAACTGCCCAATAAGGTATCGTAAGGACTTGTAGAAATTTGCCATTTATAAGGGTTTTGCTATGCGTTATCATTATAAGGACTGGTGGACTAAAAATGTTAGTTTCAAACTTTCTACCACTGATCATGGGTTTGAATCCAAGAATCTATGTCCAGGTTATATGAGGTTTTACAGCATTATACCTGTGCTTGTGTGTTTTCTCTGGGAGTGGTTAATGACCTGTATCTATTTGCACTTACCTCCCAAGCAGTAATTGAAATAAGTGCCGGCCCATGGCAGGTAGATCTCGTGTCAGGCCCATAGTCTCATGGGCCTTATGGCCTGCGGTAAATTTGCATGTGATTTATTTGTCACAATAAGCTTCAGTTTTTTATGTAAGGGTCAAAAGAGTTTAGTCAGAGCCTGCAGCTTCTGAAGTCTGTGGATCCTGATGGCAGCCTGGCAATTCATTTTATTTCAAGCACTGTTACCATGGTTACAGACTATGCAGATCTGGATTGTTATATTGGATGTTATTTAACATTTTGGTCAGTTGATGCGACTCAATTTGAAAAAGCATTCGCTTGCTGGAATCCACTCAATTGTAGTATTTGGTTGCCAACAGACGTATTTTCTTTCATATGTTGCAATAAGCTATTATAATTGGTTATTGATAAGTTTGAGATGCCCAGTGACATCGCTATATGCTTTGACATTCCTATGTATCCTAAATTTGTGTTGCAGACTGAGAGTATCATGAAACATAAGTTACATGTCTTGCAATCGATTTATTGATATTTACAATTACAAAAAATCTGAAAAAGATCTATCATTTTTCTTCTTTCGCCTCCGTGGTTTAGTGGTAGGGCGTCTGCCCGGAGAGTGGAAGGTCCAGGGTTTGATCCCCAGTCGCGTCATACCAAAAGACGTTAAAAGATGGTGCTTGTTGTAACCCTGTCTGGCGCACTGTTTTAAGGCGATAAAACAAGGACTGGTTGGCTTGGAGTCAGTATACTGTGTTTGATTTTACAAGTCAGATGACCCCTGCACAATTTAAACTTAGAAATGTTGCGTCGGTGTCAGTGCAGCTGAGGACATATTCTCCAATGAAACTTCCAAGCCTTTATTGTTCATTAGAGGTGACTTCATAGATCAGTGACTTCGTTGATTGCGAGTCTTTGTACCACAGTGGCATGGATTGGTGCTCACAATATCAGTCACTGGATTGTCTGGTCCAAACTCACACACACACACACACACACACACACACACACACACACACACACACACACACACACACACACACACCACACACACACACACACACACACACACACACACACACACACACACACACACACACAGACGGAGAGAGAGAGACGAACGGAAAAATTGCTTTGGCCATGGGTACCGATATATCATCCCCCATCACCTGGACATGTTAAATGTTACCTGTCCACCTGATTTGTCAGATCAAGTCAAGTTCTACAATGCTTGTTCAATTTCCTGATAAAGAATCAGTAATAATCAACATCATTGTTAAATGATATGTACATTGCCATTATCTTCAAATTAAAAATAGCACATTTAATATGTACATGAAATGTGATAATCTGAGCAAGGTTTGTCATTGAACTTCCTGGAAGATTATTAAGAGGAAACTAGAAATTAACTGCATTTGACACAATGTCATAAGCATGATAAGGAATTACAAATTATTTACAAACTTGTTGCAACTCAACTGTTTCTTGTGTTACTTAGGATCGACCTGTATTTTCATCGGATGTAAGTATTTACTGACATGACGTTGCAGTGATGCATTTGAATCATATGGCTGCAGATGTACATAACACATCAGGCATTTCTTTGAGCTGAAGCTTTGTTGATTAACTTCTCTTCTGACTTGTAAGGGGGTCCTTGCCATGGACCCATAAAAAGTCCTATCTACCACAAGACCTACATGGCCACTTAGATCTGAAACTAGGCTCATATTTTCCCCTGCATATTGGCTACCTCTCATAGATGATAGATATTCAAATCAATCTTAAGTTCTGTATCTTTGTCATCAGAAAATGTCTTGATAATCATGATAATTAAGAGCATTGCTTATGCTGTGTTTGAAATTGATAACAAAAGTCAACACAAGGACCCCAGGATCTTCCTTATTATTTCTCACACTATTATTATTATTATTATTATTAAATTTAATGTGGGGTATTTTCTGTAAAGTAGTGGATCTTGTACATGTGGTAGGGAGTTGTTTCCCTTTAATTAGAGAACTTGATGCATCACTGTAATGTGCTGAGATTACATGAACAGATTTTCGTCCCCCAAACTGGTTCAAATTCTTATTTGAAACTCACCGTTTGCTGCCCTCAAATATCCTCACTGTTTGTTGTTGTGTAGTCACATTTCGTATCTTTTTTAATTTTTTTTTTTTTAGCAAGTTAAACATGCAACACTCATAAAATTTGTTCTTGTAATGCCATTATGTGCATGCTTAAGTTGAAATGTGTGGTCTTGGGCACAGTTATTGACTGTATGGATCATGTCAAGGTTTTATTGCATCTTGAAATCAAGTGTTGATGGGTGTTTAAAGTGAGGAGTGTTTAGTAATATATTGTGTAATACTGCATGAATGTAGACATTTTGCGACCTATCTTGATCTGAAAGTACCTTTACATGAGATATGGCTTTACAGAAATATTCTTGGAAATACTCCACAAGTCAGAATACTGAATTCAGTCAACTTTCTGCCCCCTGACCTTGATATGTGAAATAAGTAGTGTCAAATACGCATGTACACCTTAACAATCATCATGGGAAGTCAGTGTTACAAATAATTGGGATTCCTGCTATGGTATTGTGATCTTTGGACCCCTAGATCTTTCATTTCAACAATTTGGGTGGACATTTTTGGATGACTGTTTACAATCTTAATTTTGAATACTAGTATTGGAAGTACTGACTATCATAACAGACAGTTTGTTTGGTATAACTACCATCAAAGATTTTATTTTTTTTCGATAAATACTTTTCAGGAGTCTTCAAGAGTTGAATCTTACCAGTACATACATTCATGAGTAACATGATACATTCATTCAGTGATCACACTACACAGGTTTGCATTCTACAGCACATCGGTGCGTAGTGAAGTGAGTTGGGGAGATGAGAGAGACACATTTGCAGAAACGAATGATGGATACATGTAACAGTACCGGAATATGGTTGATACAAGACACATCATGGTTAATATTCTGTGATTTTATTTTGATTAAAAAATACTTTCAATCTCTGCTCAATGTATCAATGCATAGTGACACAACCGTCATGCTTGGATGCTCATTTGAACCAATTTTTATGGGATAAAGACAAGTAAATAAATAAGTTAAGCTGATAGTATACTTCTTGAAGTTCTTTGTATTATCAGAACCAAATGACTAAACTTAGTTATGTTCTGTCCCAAATAATGTTCAAGTGCATATGTGGTTGGGTCCCTTTTGGAACAGTTAAAATGATAACATATAGCAAAACCCTTAAAAATGGCCAATTTCTATTAGTCCTTGTGATAATTTAGCTATTTGTCAGTTTAGCATGGAATAATATTATATAGTGCCAGTTTCTAACACTATAGACACTGGTCATATCCCACTAGTCCAACCATCATTTTGGATGAGTTGCTTTTGTAAAATAACTGGAATTGGAAGAAAACAAGTCCCCCCAGAGTTTTCCTATGCCTATCCCTTTCTCTGTGCAGTGAATATTTTTGTGAGGTTTTTGTTAAGTTTGTGAATAAAGTTCAATTAATTAAGTGTTAATTTAAATTTGGACTGACTGCTTCTTTAGATTCATGTTTACCATACTTGAAACATGAAGTGCTATGGTATGATCATGTTGCTGCATGTTGTTGCTCTGAGACAGGATCAGTTCATGTATCCTTACATCTCATCATTCTTGTTCATTGAGTTTCTTTAAGTCATTGGTCTCTTCCTTTCCCACTGGACCCGTGAAGATCCGGGATAGAATAGGTCTTCATCAACCCATGCTTGCTGTAAAAGGCAACTATGCTTGTCGTAAGAGGCGACTAACGGGATCGGTGGTCAGGCTTGCTGACTTGGTTAATGCATGTCATCAATCCCAATTGCAGTGATCGATGCTCATGATGTCAATCACTGGATTGTCTGGTCCAGACTCAATTATTTACATTGCTGTCATATAGCTGGAATATTGCTGAGTGGGGCGTTAACCAACAATCAAACCAAACCAAACCAAACCAAACCAAACCAAAACTTTAATTCACGTATGATACAGAGAAGATAGGATAATTGGATTCAGGTTAAAGCAATGATTTACAGGGCGATAGAATGTTGTTTATTAACAATGATATTTGCAACCATTTACTATTAGGACAGTGTTTCATATTGACACGAAATGAGAACATAGAAATATACATTTCTTTGGAAAATGGGACAAGAAATCCCCAACATTTTTCAGTGAAACTACATTCAGTACAATCCATAATTACACCAAGTTCAGCATGTTGGATTCTGATTTCACCAATGTTTGCACGTCCATTATCATCAACATATGATGGTTGTAGAATTCCTCTTTTTACCATGTTTACCAAAGAGGTCTTTACTTGCAATTTGTGTAATTTTCCTGTCACTAAGATAAATCTTTGTTAAATCTCCAGTAAGATTTTACATTTTTTGTTTATTACAATCATGACAATATACATAGTGAAATATTGCAGGATGCTGCATGCATGTTAAAATGTCTATTTGTATGCTGCACAATACATGTTTATCTCAGTCACGATATTTTATTTGTCTGCCAGGTATTTCATATGAAATTATAACAAAAAAAGTTTTAACAAAATATTTAAGCAGGAAACATTTAGGCCTACTCTTCTGAAGTGATCTTCACTATGTTAGAGGTATCCTATTTGATTGTACATGTATGTTAGCATTATTTAGACAGGTCATTTTACTTTTTGGATTGTGTGCAATCAACAATTATTTTTTAATCCAAAAGTAATATGCTTCATTTATTTTCTTGTGTTCTATATTGCATATAATCAGATACAATAAGTGAATAGATTTGAGTAAATATTGACCTGAATATTATGTTTTTATTATGATGCTAAACATTTGATGTCTATAGGACAAGAAATGGAACAAGAGTGAGCGCCAGAGATTCAAAGAGGAAGCTGAAATGTTAAAAGAACTGCAACATCCCAACATTGTGAGATTTTATGATTACTGGGAAAAAACAGACCGACGAAATAGAAAAGTGATCATCCTGGTAACAGAACTGATGACTTCGGGAACATTAAAAACGTAAGTAGAAATGGACTAATATTATTTTAGTGAAGGTGAAAAAAAGTCTCATGTACAGAATATGTGGTTTAGTTGGATGCATGAGCTGCTGCCTATTTATAGGATTGTAAAGGTTTAAAGATTCAGCAGTCATTTTGCCTATGGTATTATTGCAAACAAGGTAGACCTATTTCTTACCCTATCAGGGGGAGTGGGGTAGCCGTATGGTTAAAGCATCTGCTTGTATGACTGAAGGCCTGGGTTTGATTCCCCACATGGGTACAATGTGTGAAACCCATTTCTGGTGTCCCCCATCGTGATATTGCTGGAATATTGCTAAAACTAAAAGCAGCATAAGACCATTCTCACTCACTCAAGGATTCCTTGTCATAGCCCTAATGTTCAGAGATTAAGATTTAAAGGGGATTTAAATACAATAGAAAAGGACCTCAACGGCCCTTGGTCCCTACTTAATTTTGGACACAGCTTTACCACATTTTTCATACATTTATATGTGGTAATAACTGACCAAGAAAAAGAAGTGACATGCATATATGTATTTGCTTAAGTAATATGATTGCATATTCCATTACCGAAAGATTGTCACGCATATCAAAGTTGCATGTACAAATGCCAAATCCTTGGATGATCATGCATTATTCATGATCATAAACAGCTCAGGCAAATATTCATGCAGATAAACAGTGTATCTTTATCTTTCGTAAGAAATGCCAAAAGGAATCTTATTTTGTCAATTTTATTGTAGAAATGATCCAAGATATCCCTCCCATGCCCGCTGTCAAGAAGGAAGTACTAGCATTATGTAAATGTAATGTGAAATCTGATTGCATTAATGATTTCATGATGTAATTGTTGGTTTTATAGCTACATCAAGAGATTCAAGAAGATCAACATCAAGGTATTGAAGAACTGGTGCCGGCAGATCTTGAAAGGATTGTACTTTCTGCATACACGAACCCCCCCTGTGATACATAGAGACTTGAAATGTGACAACATTTTCATTACTGGTACGACTGGCTCTGTCAAAATAGGAGATCTAGGACTAGCAACTTTGAAGAATAAATCGTTTGCCAAAAGTGTAATCGGTAAGTATTTTGCATGAGACACATCACACAGATGTCTGTCCTACATCCATTGTTACTGCATTAGAATTGTACTGCATATAGTTGAAATAGTGATGATAAGATATAGTGACATTTGTATGTTTTATGTACTTTACATTAATTTTCATGCTTTCCCACAACTAGATTTTTCCTGGAAATTGTTCTGAAACAGAACTCCCAAAATTCACAGGTATGTGATCAGCCTGTCGCACTTGACTGTGAAAGAAACAAAATCACAATTACCGGAACACAAAAGGGTTGTGTTTTCAAAGTCTTTATCCTCACAATTTTTCCCTCTTTTTTTCCCATTCCTCCCTTTAGCAACAGAGTCAACACTTATTTGATTGTTCATCTGACATCCAGATTCAGGTAAGAACTGGAATTCGATGGCAGGTATCAGTCCTTTGTTCTTGATCTTGCATATTGTGAAACTAATGTCAGTTTGTTTCAGGATTGTTTGGTTGTGGCTGAAACCATGTACTAATCTTGTCTTCCCCATCCCCCTTCTTCCCTTTGTAGACTGCAGCGTCAGGATGCAAAGACTCCACGATCTTTGTATTCTTTAAGGTACGCCGGAGTTCATGGCACCCGAAATGTACGAAGAACACTATGATGAGGCAGTAGATGTTTATGCTTTCGGAATGTGTATGCTTGAGATGGCGACGTCAGAGTACCCATACAAGGAATGTACTAATGCTGCTCAAATCTACAGAAAAGTTACCAGTGTAAGTACACTTATGATAACCGTTGTTGAATTCACATAATATGTGATATTTGGGTTTGAGACATGTTAAGTATGTTGAGTTCATGGGCAGTGGGTACTAGTAATCAGTAAAACATTAAAAACAAATTTGATGAAAGAACTTCATACATGTCTAGATATCTCAGAGAATCATGTATTAATTTCATACTTTTGTGTCATTTTGTATTTTTCTATGATTTTCAGGGTGTACGTCCAGAAGCCTGTGATAAAGTAGACAATCCTGAAATCAGAGATATTATTGAGGGTTGCATCAAGCAAAAAAGAGAAGAAAGGTAAGTACATGTATTGAAAGGCAATATACGTTTTTACCTATCATCTGAGGGGTGGGTGGGTAGCCTAGTGGTTAAAGCGTTCGCTTGTCAGGCCGAAGACCCGGGTTAGATTCCCGAACATGGGTACAATTTGTGAAGCCCATTTCTGGTGTCCCGCCCTTATATTGCTGGAATATTGCTAAAAGCAGCATAAAACCAAAACTCACTCACTCACTCATCTATCTGAAATCTTTTTAGTCATTTGAAAATGTTTATGTAACCTTCATGTTATCTTTGAAATTATGAAACTCACAAGTACAAGCTGATGTAATTTGAGAAATGTTCAAGTTATGGATGAATGGCAAGCTGTAATTGTCAAAATAATATTGTGAAAATTTACTGATTTTTCTTAGTTCCTCAGATAATAATACTGTAGCTAAAAGTCACAAGCACCTAAGGGTCCTTAATAACAGTATATATATATGGTTTGTGAAGGAATAATTTGGTATGAAAATGTCTTTTTATCACCATTTATGATGCCTTCAGGTGCTTTGGGTTGTGCAAAGCTTGTCACCTGTCAACCCTTACAGGTTCTGACCTCAAGTCATAATCTGTCAAGATAATTTATAGTTCGTGTTCATGGGAGGTGGGCTTACGTGAATAACACTTGGAATACTTTTACTGGGGCATATGTAGTGGTTGATGCTCTGAAACTATTATGTAGAATAAATATTTCATTGATGTTCAAGTAGTCTAAGATGTTTTTGAGTAGATTGTGAACAAGATTATATGGTAATTTTGGAAATATTTGTTCTATTTTAAGGTACACTGTGAAGGACTTGCTTCAGCATGTCTTCTTCTTGGAAGACAGTGGTTTGAAGGTGGAGCTGGTCAACCGGGATGATGAACTCGCAGACCGTCCAATCATTCAGCTCAGACTTCGAGTTGTTGATCCCAAGAAACGCAAAGACAAGCACAAGGAAAATGAAGCCATCCAGTTTGATTTTCATTTGGATAAGGATAATGCTGAAGAGGTTGCTCAAGACATGGTATGAATTGTAGAAGAATTGTGTTTTGCAAATTATTTCAAAATATTTTCAAGATATTCAAGATCAGTCTGGTCTTGTAAAATTCTGTTTGATCTAGTAAGCTCAGTTATTAATATTCCTTGTTAAAACTGAAATATGATACAAAGTAAAATATTGCAGGAACTCTTGTTTCTTACCGCAGGTCAGCTTCAACCTGTAAATTCACCTAGAACTTGTCATTATGTCAAATGGGTTCTGTTAGTGCAGCTTTAGCTTTTTTTGTCCCAAAACAAGGTAAAATCTGGATTTCTTCAAGAGGAAGATGAACGTAATGCAACAAAACAGATCCGTGAAAGAATTGCTCAAGTGAAACGTGAGAGAGAGAAGTTGTTGAATGAAGTTCAGCCTCCTGTATCTGGTCAAGGAATGGACACTTCAGCTCCCCAACACACCTCGCAGATCCAGGTAACCGGTGGTCATCAGCCTGGTCAGCCTCAACCTAATGTGTCTCAACAGCTAGTCCAGGGGCAGGTTCCCCCAGCTGGCAATAAGACGCAGGTGGTGGGTGTGGTTGGAGGGGGTCTGAGTGCAGCACCTGGCATACAGGGGGGCGTGGCAGAGGGGGGCGGACAACAGCAGTTACCAGCAGAGGATGTAGTAAATGGTTAGTAGTACCCAACAGAGTTTGAAGTATAATTACTTTTCTTTTCTTTTAAACACAGGACAGTGGATCATTAATCAATCATATATTGTAAAATTCGTAAATTTTAGAAAATGCTTAACTCAGATATGTTCTCTATTTGGTCATCTGATATTAGTTTATCCTGAAATGTGTCTTCAGTGAGAAAGAACTGCTCTCACTGTAGCTTGTATATGTCTGTTATTTTCTTTGTGAACAACCCCATGAACATCTGCTTTAAAATTGGTCTTCAGCAACCCATGCTTGTCGTACAAGGTGGTAAAAGGGATCGGGTGGTAAGGCTCGCTGACATGGTTGATGCATGTCTTTGTATTCCAATTGCACCGATCAATACTCATGGTGTCAATCACTGGATTGTGTGGTCCCGACTCGATTGACCGCCTCCGTGGTATAGTGGTAGAGCGCCCGCCCTGAGAGCAGATGGTCTGGGGTTCGATCACTGGCCGCGTCATGTCAAAAGAAAATAAAAGATGGTGTTTGTTGTTACCCTGCCTGGCACTTGGCATTAGTACAAGCAGCCACAAACACACACACACACACACACATGCATGCACGTTGCTATATAAGAGCAATAATCTTGGATGCAACGTTAAGCCCTTTTTCACCATCTCACCCCAGACTTACAGAGGGTGTCATCTTTTTTAATATATTTGTTTTCGTAACAATTTTTATTTTGGGGTGAAAATTTGATCCAAAATAACAAATAATGATTTGTTTCTGTGTAGACTTGTGTTGTTGTTTTAAAGACAACTAGCTTGAACATTGTATGTGTTATGTCTATATTCTTTGATGTTTTGTTTGTAGTCGCTGCAGCTATCTCGGAAAGTAAATCCGAAGTTAACTTGCCAAACTTGCAACAGTCACAGCAGCTGTCAGGTGGATCAGCTCCCAATATTCCACAGCAGGTTTGTATTTTTGTTGGGTTCTTTTGAAATAGAAATTACAAACTTTTGATTACGATTGATTGAGATAATTTGAACATGTTGAAAGATGTTTTATTATATATACTTCAGTGTGAAAGACAGATTTCTGATGTTGGGAAAAGTGATGTTTTCATTACAGTGAACATAACACTTGATACTTCACTTTAGTGAACATAACACTTGATATTTCTCTGCAGTGAACATAAAACTTTGAGGAAACTATTGCCATACAAGAGTTACCCCCCCCCTTATATTATCTCCCTTTGTCGTAAGTGATGACCCCGAACACAAACTGTTGACGTTCTTTTTTTATGTTAGGTCCACATTGACAAGGCAAATAATGACAGACAGTCGTTTATGGAGTTTATATCACTTCTTGCCGTTTGTTATTCTCTCAAAAATGTTTCCTTATAACCTGTAAATTTCTCATTTAGTCGTCAATCGAGACTGTTCGTTTCGCAAAGCGCCATTTTTGTTACTTGACCAGCGTGTATTTTTTCGCTTTAAGAATATTTTTGTTCAAGTTGATTTTGAATATAATCATGTCATTAATATTTTTTAATACTTTTGTTCATATTTTTTTAAGATTTTGCAAACACGAAAATACTTTTTAAGTCACAAATACAAGGGGTGGTGAACCGTCCCTGTGTGTTCGGTAGGGAGAATTAAGGTTTCAAAGTTTTTCATTTGGAATGATGGGGGGGGGGGGGGGCACGACACATGAAATATCTTGTATGTCTTGTATCTCCACAAACTAAAAGCATGTAACAAAAAGAAAACGATTTTGCACTGTAATATGTTTGATTTTTATAACTTTTGTCCATTCCTTCTACAAAAGTTTTGCTTAAATACTTCATACATGTCAAGGAGCTTTCTTCTGGAAGCCTTGCTTCAAACAATAAGACCAAATTAGTTTGGAACTCCAGCCTTGTTGACAATTACCGTAATAAGCGCCACGCTCTAATAAGCGCCCCCCTCTAATAAGCGCCCAAGTGAACAATCCAAATTAGCAACCCTTCCGATTGATCAATGTACACAAGACTTATATATTCGTGTATAATACACACGCATGTGTTATATGCACCCTTAATTATGGGCAATTAATTTCTGGAAAAATATATCTGTCGTATATAAACAGTTCAGACCGTCAGCATAAACCACGAAATTTATCTTTCAACTCTGTTTTTTCCACCAAAATAATATTCTAATAAGAGCCCCCTATTTCTAATTTTGAGAGCTCCCTGGGCGCTTATTATGTCGAAAATGGTACTGCATATTTGCTAAAGTATGCAGCTCCTCTGGAGCTCTGTCATGCCATAATGGCTTTGATTGGTGCCTATACTTTCAAGTTCTTGTTTGCTAGGTCCGTACGTGAAAATATGTGCTATAGCAGGAATATTGGTGACTGCACTCACACCCCTGTGAGTGTTAGAAAGTGTTAGAAATTTGCACTCCTCCTGTAGTCCTTGCCAAACTGCCCAATAGTTAAGGTATCTTAAGGACCAGTAGAAATTTGCCATTTTTATGGGTTTAACTATATGTTCTCATTATGTGGACTAGTGGACTAAAACTGTTAGTTTCTACCGCTGCTACCTTTTGCCCATACCAAGTTACATGTTGTAGGTTCAAACAAGCATATCAGGCACAGGGCAGGATGATGGTCAATTCATGTCGGTCCAACAGCAGACATCGCAAACATCTCTACAATCCCAGGTGTCACAGGTTGGTAAAAACAAATTCTCAGATCAGTTAGTGTGTCTGTCAGCCTCTGTATCTTCAGGGACATTAGAAATCAGTCTTGAATAAAAGAGAAATACTGGATTTGTTTTGAGACAGTGACTATTTTTGTGTAAATATGTTAAGAGCTTTTTGAGACTGTCTTCTAATGTCACTGAAATATGAGCGCATGAAAACTTTTTTAGTTTTTTTGTGTAAGTGATTTATCTGAAAAAATCTTTAAATGTTTGAAGGCACTTGTAAAAAGTACAGCTTTCTGACTTTAACTGTCATCCATATGTTGTAGAAATGACTGATCATTTGTTGGAGTTGATTATATAGAAAATGCATTGGTGTCTCGTTTGATTTTCTACAATTATGGATGATAAAAACTTGCATGTATGAATATTGTGGGTTGCCTTATGTCAAGTTTTTACTAATTGACATGTAAATGACTATTTGATGGCTAATAACATAACCCAAATAATATATTAACCAGTAAGTTTCACGTTGTCAGTGTATTCTTATACACATACAAAACACAGTGTTATGGTAAACAGCCGTTTATCTACTGTATTTACCAATCAAGACATGGGAGCATCTGCATTTGATAATACCAATATCAGAATGCTTCATCACCCAACTAATGCAGTATAACATCCACAATACTGATTTTTCTCTCAGCATAAAGGAGCTGAAAGTTGGAAACGAGTACGAGACAAGGTGTTTTGCCAGGGGGTATTGAAGGTACTTGTAGAGTCATTAGAAACCAGAACTGTTATCTTATATTTATCATGAACTCTATCCAAACTGTATGCTTGAACTTATTTATACTCTATTCATACTCAACTTAGCTTTTCCCTGGGGCAGCAGTCTGCCTGCTGAGTCTTGTTTATAGTGCAACTAGCCACTGATTTTGACAGGGAATGTTAGGCAGTTTGACACCTCAGGAGGTGCAGTCCCCTCAGAAAGGTGTGGCAGGTTCTCGGCACTACCACCAAGGACCTTACTCTGCTCCCCAGACCCCTGTAAAAACCAGATTGCAGGCCAAGGTGTGTTGCACAAAATACTTTGGTTTCTTTGCATGTAGTTAACCAATTAACCTGTACTAACTCTGTAGTGTAGTCAAAGGCTTCAATTTCAAGGTTATGGCTTTGTGGACTTTGTCACCCAAATATTGTAGCAAAATGTTTGGTTTTGCTGGTGTCGTTTACTACGTTCTATTGCTGGTTTTGTAAGGGAAGGTTTTCTATGTTATCTATTGCTATACATTTACTTTTATATCTTGTTTGCAAGTTCAGTTTAGTTGCTGAAAGCTGTTCGCACTATTAACATTTAATATTATGTTTGATGCCAAACATAGCAGTCATCTCTCTAACCTATATCTCTTTAATTTCAGGGGGTTAGTACCTGCCGTTTTTTTCCAACTTAGCTCATTCTATTTTATAAATAAATTAAAGAAGCTACTCTGAATTGGTTATCCTTTTATTCAAGGCACCCCAAGGACTATTTGAAAGTCACATAATTTTGTATGTTTTAACAGATTGCAAGTTGTGTTTTCCTCAGAAAAATGAAGCACCCTTACCATTTTCTTGGCACTGTTTCGAAGGCACCCCCACCTTGTGTAAAACAATGTGTGCACATATTGTGTTTGTACTGATACCTGAAAGAGAAAAGGGGCAGAAATGTTCGCATGGCTTTGTCATGATCCACTGTCTATGATACAGGAAGATAATTATTCCTTCAGTCAAACTCTGCTTGAGCTGGAGTGGGGGACTTCTGCTTATACTGTATTGAAACTCTGCCATTTTTCTCATTCAGTTGTCCTGCTTCCATTTGTCCTGAGGTAACCACAAACTATGGAAACTATAAATCACCACTGGTCCAGATCATTTGGAAAAACTATGAACTTTGAATAAAATTCAGTATTGTTTTGAGGATCCCAATAATGTTTTTCTAGATAGGAAAGATCTTGCTCTGCAAAGGTGCAAGATCACTTGTGCATATTTGAACTGAAGATATTGCACTATGCTAAGCTTTTTCACTTAGAAAGTTGCAATTGTTCATTTAATGTTGGTTTCTTTTCTGTTTCTTGTTCATAGATTTTCAGCATGCACAGTTTTAAAGCAGCTGATTTGAAAAAAGTAAAATCTTTATTAACACCCTTGTAGCTATTCTATTCAATTTTTTTATTATTATTTATCGGTTGGAGATATTTACCAAGGCTCGAAGTGATGACACAAAAGCTAAAAAACTACAATCTGTTGTAAATATCAAATCAGCTTGAACAATATTGCAGTTTTGACCTGATAAGAAAGATCATGTAAATAAAACAAGCTCTTTTTCCCAGAACTACTGTGTAATATTTTGCCGTTAAACATTCCTTGCTTAATCTGTTTTTGATCAATCTCAGTCAGTATCCAGCTCAAGCTTGAAGACTTTCAAGGTTATTTACATCACAAAAAGACAGGTTTTTGACTGATTGTTTCCTTTTTCAGGCAAGTAACTTGAGCCACTTGGACATCATTGCTGCTCAGCAACTTCAACAAGGAGGTACTCAAACCGGCTCCTCCGCACCCCAGTCGTCAATGTCAGGCACATCCCAGCTCCCCTCCAGCCACTCTGCGGGCTGTTTGCAGGACGATGCAACACACTCCAACAGAGAAAGGTAGGCGGCCTTTCCTTGCAGTTTGTGATCACTGTTGTCATGATGGAAACTACTTGTGATCCTTTATTTTGCCTAATGAAAAAACATTTCCTTTCAGATAATCAATTCCTGAAATGTTTCATCACAGACCAGGCCTTGGGAGTTATATGTTATGTTTCTGATAATGGTGAATTGATGTTTCAGAATAAAAAATGGGTGTGAGACAGGTTGTGCATTTGGTAAATTGTGGTAAGTAATAAATTTATGCTCATTCTGTACACATATTTTAGTGCATATGGCATTGATTTTCACTTGTATTCAACCAATGTTATTTACAATTGCAGTGAGAATGAAGCTCCAGGATCCAATACTCAAGACAAGTCCAAGAGGAAATCCCGGCCCAAACGGCGGAAGACTCTTGAGAAAGTTCCCAGAGCTACGATTCTTAGTGTGGCTGCCGACAATGAGGTTGAGTGCAGGCTGGAACTATCCAACAGAAACACTGTCACTTTCACATTTTCTTTGGAAAATGATAAGCCTGAGGAGATTGCTGAAAATTTGGTTAGTTTGCTTGAAAGAGTTTATTGTTTAGAAAAGCTATACATTATGCCGTTTGTCTAATTTCCAACCTGAATTTTACTTGTTTTTTTCATTAGCTCACCTAACTGAAAGTCATTGACATAATAATCTTCTCCGACGAAACCACTGGATCCATTGTAGAAGGACCTTCTCATAATTGTTCCCACCGATGATGACACCTGAATTTGTTCAAATGGTTTGAATCAGATTTTCAGTGTGGCCATAGCCACAGCAGCCATATTGAGTTCTTTTGTTTGTGGGGGGCTGAAGTCATTGCAGTGAACTTTGGTATGTATGTTTCTCCTGATACAACATTGTGCAAATAACCTCCTTTCTTCTATCCTGAAACATAGAACCAAAACATGTCTCTCTTCCAGGATGCAATTGCTACCTGGTCGACAAGTGCTTCTCCTACTTGCACCTTTTCATTGCTGTTTTGGTGCAATAATGTCTTCTAGGACTTCACAGGGGCGGTCGGGTAGCCTAGTGGTTAAGGCGTTAGCTCGTCACGCCGAAGACCCGGGTTTCGATTCCCGACATGGGTACAATGTGTGAAGCCCATTTCTGGTGTCCCCGGCCGTGATATTGCTGGAATATTGCTAAAAGCGGCGTAAAACCATACTCAGTCAGTCAGTCTAGGACTTCACCCACTGGCTTGTTACCATCAGTGACTACCCACAGGTTTGAAGTCCTGCTTGAGACAGACAGTCATCATCCATGGATGCAACAGATGGTCCTCACCTTTCCCCACCGACCTTTTCTTTCCACTGGAGCCTGCATCAGTGTCTCGTCTTTAGACACATCTTTGCGGATGCATCCACAACTAGGTATTATGCTGTTTGGATGGAGATACCTTCCCTCGACTACTGCAGCACCTTTGATGGCTTCATTCTCCCCAGAGGAGACGAGGCACTCTTCAGTGGCAGCGAGGTGCTCGTCGAAAATCTTGTCCAGATTGTTAATTGTGACAAATGTGGACAATTTGAGTGTCATTCAGCAGACAAGGTGGAAGAGGTCGGCGCCGATCAGTTGTCTTACCAAATTAAAGAGCTGTTGTGCATTTGAGAGCTTCGAGGCTCTCCAACTCCTTGTCATTTAGACACTCGTTGCCTTCCAGCAGGCAGTCACCAAATTTGTCTACCTGACCGTGACGTCTTTACCAGCTTCAGCATTCGGGTAGCTTAATTGTCAAAGCGCTCGCTTGTTAAGCCAAAGGCCCGGGTTCGATTTCCCACATGGGTACAGTGTATGAAGCCCATTTCTGGTGTCCCCTGCTGTGATACTACTGGTAATATTGCTGTGTAAAGCCATGCTCGCTCACTCACTTAACCAGGTACTCCGCCGCTGCAACGTCTTTTACAGGGGTTGCAGTGCTTTGTTTCTACTACTAGTTGAGGCGTCTATGCAATGCCTCACCAGGTAATCCAGTGCTGCACCAGCTAATTGTACAGCTACTTCGTTGCTACAGAGCGCTGTGTCTTTATGCCTTACAGAGGCACCCGCCCTACTTATGTCCATAGGGAGAAGAATTCCAGTGGTATGTCAGCCTTCCTCACTTCTAGACAAGCGCATCTGGAGGAAGCCACTTGCCTTGGAACACATCTCATATAAATGGTTAATCATTGTCCTCAGTCGGGGTTTTAGGGCATGGCCTTGAAGTCACAACATTGGTTTCTTCCCTAGTCTTTCAAGACTTCACACACAGGTGCTTGCTGACTTGATTGAAGCATGTCATCGATCCCAATTGCATGGATCGATGCTTATGATATCAGTCAATGGATTGTATGGTCCAGATTCGATTATTTACATACTTATTGACATGTCTTGAGCAATACTTAAGATTACAATTACGGCCAATCTCATTAAAATCAAATCTTACTTCTCGCTATTGCTAAACAAAGATCTGAGGACATCCAAGTAGGGGTCACGTCAGAACGACCTTTCATCCTACCAATCAGAGCGTCGCCTACCAGATCATGAAAATGACAGTCGGAATGTGATTTCTAATCATGCATCCTCGAAAACTTTAACACGGGATATTCCGAACGATAGTTACGGGTTCAACAACTGAATCCATACAATCTAAACCATCTATTAGCGATTCCAGAATGTTCTTTTGTTCAGGTTTAAAATTTTTAATCGAGAATTTGTCAAAGTATGTTTTGAAGCGTAGTCGCCAGTTTGAAATTAGTGCCGTAAAGCACGAGAAAGCTGACTTCTGATTGGTCATTCCATTGGTCGGTCAAAGTTCAAGATAGGTCAGTCTGACGTGACCCGTAATGGGATGTCCTCAGATCTTTGTTTAGCGGCAGCGAGAACTTAGATGTGATTTTAATGAGATTGCAATTACAGCATGCTGCAGTTCTTTTGCATTATGCATTCCGACTATTTTTAAAACTTCACCCTTGGTGTTTCAAATGTCACCCAGTATATAAGAAATCACATTATGAAATAGAATCATCTCTTCAAAAACTGGGTGACTCATCTAGAACTTGAGACGACTACAACATTCAGCAAATGCTTCACATTAAGTATTAAGATTGTCATTATAACTTTCATCTGAGAGGTTGTTAGATATTTCTTGGGTATCCCCCACTGTTGCAGTGAATATCTGCAGGTATTTTGAGTCCTTGTTGTCACACGCGACAACTATTAACTATTGATCGTTAATTATTGACCAGATATTTCCATTGTGTTTCATACGTCAAAATAATATTCTGTGGACTAGTCTAGTCCATGATGTCTGGCCCAGGTAGACTTATTTCGCAACCACAGACCCCCACCGCCAACTGTGGGATATGCTTTTGTACTAAGTTTTAGCATTTTGTGGAGCTTGCAGTTGCTAGGGATAAGGGAGATAACTGTTGCTTGTTGGTTGGTTTGTTGTTTAACGCTGCACTCAGCAATATTCCATCTATATGACGGCGGTCTGTAAATAATCGAGTCTGGCCCAGACAATTCAGTGATTGACATCATGATCATCGATCCACGCATTTTGGAACGATGACATGCATCAACCAAGTCAGTGAGCCTGACCACTCGATCCCGTTAGTCGCCGTTTACGACAAGCATTGTCGCCTTTTATGGGAAGCATGTTTTGCAGAAGACCTTTTCTAACCCGGATCTTCACGGGTCGAGGAGAGACATATTTTGGTTCTGTGTCAAAGTTATATTTGCACTATGTCATATCAGGGTAAGTATACTGATGTCATAAATATACTAATAGAACTGAATTCCAGTTGATGGATGAGGATAATTGCTTTATATACCTCCATACATGCTCTTGCAGGGCTCCATTTAGCCATGTAAAATATACACCAGTGCAGCCTATTATTGAAAAATGCAACCTTATATTTATGTCTACATGCATACAAAGTGCATGTCAAAATCTTTCAAATTTGTTGCTAGTCTTTACTTGTCTGCCCAACATAGTTCTATGAAACACATTCAATACTTCTAAGCTTTATTTACCATACCACATCAATCTTCCCAATGTATGTATAATTTGTCTTGCTTTTTGGGCTTTTAGTCAAACGGTGGGTTAAATTTCAACCTCGACAAATTCATGCACCTGGTGCAAGTTAAATCAAGTATTTAAATGGAGTCCTGCTCTTGAGATGATTGATGAAGTAAAGAAATGATAATTACCAGGGAGCTAACCAAACATACTTTCGGTCAACCCAACCTCCAGTTGATATTGCATCTTGTCTACTTCAGGTTGGCGCTGAGTTGTTGCTGAGCAGCCAGGTGACTGGTGTGATAGAGCTCCTCCAGCAGGTGTTTGCTCTGGTTGGCCAGGACCCATCAGCCTCTGTGTCAATCTGTGTCAGTGTGGCCAACACACCTACGTCCAGTCCCAGCTCGGTCAGGAGGGTCAGGCAGGTCATGGATGGAGACTCAGTTAAGGTGAGTTACAGCAGACAAACAAGAAAATCACAACTGGGTTTCAAGTGGACATATTTTGTTTTGATGTGTGTTGAAAGGATCTGGGCATCAATTCTCATTAAGATGCCTTTTTTATGGGGTACAGTTAAGTCGCAATGCAGAATTTACCGGATTTGTTTTTGATCGTGAATTGACCTGTTCTGTTGCTTACTCTTCAGAGGCTTGAGTTTGACCATGCTGGGACTGATAGCTCTGGAGTTGCTTCTCATACAGACTGTGGAGAGATGCAGGACTCCACAGTGGTCTTCAGTAAGAGCAGGAAGTTCATTGTAAGCCGGGTCTGTGATTCACACCTTTCGGAGACCAAGATTACTGAAGATGAAGGAGAGGAGCACACCATATCCCCAGACAACATGCCCAGCTCTGCTACCCATGTCGGCGAACCAGATACAATCAATCCTGAGTATGAGAAATCATGGAAGAGCACAACTGCACGGTCTGATGTGCCAATTGATATCTCTGATCTGCATGAAAAACTGACCAAATTGACATCACAGAGAGTGGCAGGTCAGGCAAGCAGTCAGGCAGTGACTCCAGGTGATGTTGGGCCTCAGGGTGGACAGATGGAGGGTCAGTTGATAGATGGACAAGGTAGACCTCAACAACAATCACCGCATGTTCAGCAGCCATCCACCTCTCTGCAGTCTCAGTCACAGACTCAGCAGCAGGTTCAGTCGCAAGATGCACCATCAGGTGTTTCTTCCGACAGTAGTCAGACCACTCCAGCTGCACAGAGTCAGGGTGTGCCTATGATGAATCCCTACATGCATGGTGCACAACAGATGCTGCAGTACCAGGGCATGATGCCACATTATCAGGGCCTCTACTACCCACCCTATTATGCAAATACTGATCCCATGCTGCAGATGCAGATGCATCAACAGATGATGCAGCAGTACATCATGATGAACCAGATGCAGCAACAGCCCCAGTCCTCGCAACAGGCCAATCCCCTGCCTCCTCAATATTTGATTCCCCAAGGATGGATGTACCAAGGTCAGATGCCCATGTATACAACAGCAGCCATGGGTTCCCAACAGTCTCAAGGTGTAGCTCCAGCTCAAGGGCATGTCCCGGAAACTGGTGTCCTAGGCCAGATTGTATCTCCTCCACGATCACCTGGCCAGTCTCGGAAAGCAATGTCAGAGGATGGTTCATCAGACGGCTCTATTCACAGTACAGATGGTCAGAGTAGAAAGGGGGATTTAGCTAACCTTGAGCAAGCATTGATCAAAAAGTTACATGGCAATAGGAAGGATGTTCAGCAAACATCAACGGCACATACAATGCCTATAATGACAATGTCAGCTACAGGGGGCCAGATTGAAGGTGGTAGTGTTCACATGACGGATGAAATGCAACAGACAGACTTAAGTCCTTCTAACGGTGATGCAGGAGGATTTGTAAATAATGATGTATGTGTACATTCAGATGGTAATGAGACCAATGAGGACTTGTCATCAACCATTGAAATCCAGACATCCGTGAAAAGGAGGTCACGGTTCACGGTTGAGGCAGTGTCAGAGGACAAGATAGCAGTAGATCAGACAAGTTCAGATACTGATATTTCTGTGTCCTGTAGTGGTGAAACTCTTGACCAATTTGACAGGAGTAATTTACAGGAAAATGTGCCAAATATAACTTCCAGAAAGGGACGATTCTCAGTGACAACTGTGAAAGACAGTGTGACAATAGGTCCTTCCCAGTCACTGGACGAAGAAGATGGGCATTTGGTGGAGGTTATGACCACTAACACACCAGATACTGTATCTATTCCATCTCAGACTACTAACAAAACTGATGAAGGATCGCAAGGTGCAGGCATGCTCAAAGCTACTGGTGTAAGTAGATTTCTGCAAAGGTTGCATGATAGTGATACTTCTTATAATTCTGTAGGCGCCAGTAATAGTCATTTATACAAAATGGCACGTGCTGCATCTCTAGATAGCCAAGAGTTGTATAGAAATGCTACTGCAAAAAAAAAGCGCTCTATATCATTAGGTCAGCTCCCACCCCCTCATCCTTTTTCTGAAGATGGTGCTGGTTCATGCATGGGTTTAGGTTCATTGTCCTTACAGTCATCGCTCATATCTGCTCATGCTCCTCGCAATAAGCTCATAATACCTGCTGACTCGGTTGATACGGGCACTCAGACATCTCCCATGGTCGTCAAAACTGTGCCACGTCTTTCTAAGATGGGCCCAAGGAAGAAGAAGGTAAGGCAGTACGAGCAGTAGCCAACAATAAAGAAAAATAGTTGTGGAAACAAAATTGACAAAGTATGTCCTATCTTGTGTAAAAGACTTTTACTTGGTGTAATTTGGTTCAGGTTAAGTTTACTGTTCGATAACTTGTTTTTATGTTGTAGGTAAGTATTTTATTTAGCTTAAATGACTTTATGTCAGCAATTTTTTATTGACTTATTTACTGAAGGTTAGTTTACATGGTTCATTATCACTAAGTTTGAATGCGTTAACATTTGATCATGTCAGCAATAAGATTCACTGTTTAGTTTTGGAACCTATTGTGCTTTTTGTCAAGGGGTTTGATATCCTTGTATGGGTCAAAAAAGATATCGGTAAAAAATGTCTTTGAATAAATTGAATAAGAGCAGTCTTACAGAGAGGCTGTCGGGTAGCCTAGTGTTTAAAGCGTAAGCTTGTCACACCGAAAACCCGGGTTCGATTCCCGACATGGGTACGTGTGAAGCCCATTTCCGGTTTTCCCCCGCCGTGATATTGCTGGAATATTGCTAAAAGCGGCGTAAAACCATACTCACTCACTCACACAGTCTGACAGAAACTAGCTGCTTTCATTAGATTTTGGCAACAGCACAGTTAAGTTTTTAATAAAAATTAAACAGTACCAGTAATATCAAAATCAAGGTGAAACAGCTAGCTCGTCAAAATATTGTGAATGTTGGCATCCTTACTTTGTTGCCTTTTCCACAAAGAAAGAAGAAATATATCCGCTTTTCAGCACAACTGAAATTTCCATACACATAGATATTGGTAGGTTAGTTTGAACCTGTGTTTAGTTTTCTGTGCATTGATTGCACTATTTCTGGTCAAGTGGCAATATGTGTGTGTACATTTTACTTTCCTTTTCATTAATTATTAATAATATTACTTTTCTGTATTGTCGCTTCACATGAAACCCTCTTCATTAACAGTCTGTGACCACTCAAGAAGGGAAAGAGGCCAAAAAAGATATGTATGTTCTACATCATGATCCAGAGTACAATAACATGATCCTAAGGTGAGACTCCAATTCAAACATTTATTTAAGTGTAAGAGTTTTAGTGAAGTTCCTGCACTTTATCTTAGGAACCTTCACATTGACTATACTGGTAAAGGGCAAGTGAACTCAACATAGCAACTTTTCAGATTGTAACTTTAGGGTATGCAAAATTGAATTTGAAAATGGGAAAGAGTGTAAACAGACGATAAAAAATGACAGGCGAAATTGTCATTTCCCCAAACTGAGGTTAAAATATGCGCTGCTCAATTGCAACAATCAGACTGGCACCCAGGATGCTTGCATTACAGGGCTCTTTCTGTGTGCTCATCCATGGAATTACCATGCTTTATTGGTAACAATATGACCGCCTCCGTGGTCTAGTGGTAGAGCGTCCGCCCAGAGAGCGGAAGGTCCGGGGTTCGATTCCCGGCTGCGTCATACCAAAAGACGTTAAAAGATGGTACGTGTTGTTACCCTGTCTGGCGCTCGGCATTAAGGGGCTAAAACAAGGACTGGTCGGCTCGGAGTCAGTATACTGTGTCTGAGTGGGGTATTCATGTTAAATTGCGGCATGGTATCTCAGTGGGCTTGCACTATTAATTGGCATCAGTTCGGACTAGTACAAACACACACACACACACACACACACACACACACACACACGTGCATGCACGTCGCGATATAAGTGCAATAATCTTGGATGCGACGTTTAACCCAGTTACACCTCACCTATTGGTGACAATATTGAAAATGTCAGGATTAATCCCTGACAGGCATTCATTGTATGGAAGAGGACTAAGGGCAGCAGGTGGTTTTTGAGGATCTTCCTATTTGTCCAGCAGCTATTGTCATTGGTACAAATTCACCCGAGTGTGGTGATTGGTTAGACAATAGGGAATTAAGAGGGGCATTTTACATATGCCACATATAACAACACAACTAATTGGTGAACTATATCCACATATACTGAACTGAGTGAAACCTTTTAAAATATATATCAATGCGAAAGTGAACATGTTAATCGTTTCATATGATTTGGGCTATAAAAGGCATTACTGACAAACAGTATTCCACTGTGGCAAATGCGCTGTTTGATTTACAGTTTATTTCCAATTCTAAGGCAAATCAGCACTTAGGTTTTGACAGATACTAGTCCATGAATAAGACCAGATGTCAAATATCCATTCATTGGAAATGTTTCCAAAGAGTATGCCCAACCACAAAAACACCAAAGATGACTTTGTCATGAAGCACAATAACGTCACAGAATTGGGTTAACGCCACAAAATCAATTTGAGGGGTGGCATCCAAATCTGTACAAATTCATGGAGATACTGCAGGTTGATTAGGATAATACTACGATCATAATCCAGGTTGTTTAATGCCACTGAAGAAGAAAAGTAGTGTCAAAACCTAGCCCTTGCCCTTGAGAGTGAGCAAAGACAGTTGCTTGCCAGCCAGAAACCTATTTTGACACCCACTGAATTTTTGTGATGTTAAAAGTCAGTTCAACTGATCCAATTCAGTTGACGTACCACTTTAGAGAATTGCTTTCTAAAACAATATTTCTTTTACAGACAGAAGAAGCAGATAAACGAACTGCACCTGAAGCACAAGAAAGAGATGGAGGAGTTTCTGAAGAATAAAGGCATATCTTTACCTAGTATGATGCCACATACGGTGGCCTCTCCAATGATGAGTCCATTGACTGTGCATACAATGTCCCCTGCGTTGCTGTCCATGGCGTCAACACGGACATCAGTTCCAAGTGCCACTTCCCAAAAGGCGGATCAAGGTGGTCATGGGCAGGTGGAAAAGCCAAAAGGTACATTTGATGAGGAACTGTTTAAAAGATATGCAGATTTGACTCGATCAAACACACATTCTACAGCCAAACCTGATACTACCAAAAAATCCTTAAATGAACTGAAACAGGAGCAGGAGTTTCCTTGGGACAACTCTTTGAGTTTACAAGCCTCATCTAGTGCCCATGCTGATAGTTCTGTGCATCTCAATCGTGTGCGGAGTGCGGCCAAGCTCCACACAGAGACTTCGGACCTGAAAGCGTCTGATAGAATGGGTGGTGAAAACCGTGAAGGGTCAAATGAGAGTAGTCGGAAATCCAGTGTTGATCTTTCCTCCTTGCCGACTTCCATTCCAGAAATGCTGAGACAACAACCTCATCATCAGATGATGCATCCATATCTTCACCAAGGCTTACCGCCTTTTTTCCCCTTTCAATATCAAGGCTTTATTGCAGGTGCCAATGCTCAGCAAATATCTCAACCTTTTCAGTTGCAAGGCTCGTTTCCAGGAATGATGGCAAACCCCCAGACGCAAACAGTTAACTCTGCTGCTGCACATGGATCATTTGCTCCCATGCAGAATGCCTTTCCTGTCCAGTCTCAGCAACAGCAACAACAGCAGCCACAGCAGCTTCCAACATCATCACAGCTGCCAGCACAACAGGCACAGGCACCTCAGACGTCAGGCAGTTCATCCAATTCTGCTTTGAACAATCAGCAACCGAGCAAAGGCTAATCCACATGCCAAATGTCTTTCATAACAGCAGGTGTTACGAATTATACCATCTCTGGGTATCCCAGAGAAGTAAGTATCTGATCTAGCTGTGCTCATCAATCCATGAAGTTTGAGAGGGAAACAGAAGTGGATGGAGGTTTATTACAGCCTGCCATTTTCCTTATCACAGCAAAGTGCATTGCTGCTTGAACCCATTCCCAGTATTACCAAATGTCTGTGTATGCAAATAGATGGATCTAGCCTAGCTGTACTTAAGTCAGGCCTTTAGTAAGCAAATGACCAAGACATTTGGAAACATCGGCTCCTGACCACTGTAGGACAACAATCACTCACATCTAGTCTTCCTAGGAAACCTCTGCATCCCTACGTTGGTCACTGGTAATCAGGAGATAGTCCAAAAACATTTGGACAAGTTTCGGGGTATATCAAGGAGAGACATATATCTTGGACTAGAATGGGTTACTTTGTAATATATGTACTGAATTCTATAGAGAGTGCAGTCCCAACATTGTGCATATTCCATGGGACCTTTCCTCATTACTCCTGTTGCTTGAGCCTGCAAGTGGTGTGGCATTGACACTGTTTGTTATTCTGTTACATGACTTTACCTTTTGCAATAGTTCTGCAAGTTCCAGTTCTCTTATTATGAACAACAGTATTACAGGCTTAAAAATCAAGAGCACTGCGATACTAAATCTTGCTGTAAACTTACCAGTGATTTAAACTAATTCCTAAGACATTAAGAATATTTTGCTGACACACATAAGCAAAGTGGGCTACTCACAAGAATCATCTGGCATATAATTTTACCTCCTCTTTCAACTCTTCTGCTAAAGTGTTGATACCTTGACAGTTTATTGTAGTATTTATTGCGGCAGAATTGAAACAAAAGTGCTCAGCATTGTGTAGTTTGTAGCTGTGCCTTGCAATCTGTGATTAATTTTCCTGTACATTGATCTGAAGTACACGTTAGCATGTGCAAGTGAAGTAGCAAAAGAAAATTTCATTGAGTCTGTTCATAGGAAATTGAACAAGAATTTGTGATTACCTTTCCTGTACATTGATCTGAAGTTCATACTAGTTGCCATGTGCAAGCAAATATCTTAATTGATGTTTTGAATGCGCTGTTGATGGGAATTTTGCTCATAAGTACTTGTAATCTATGCCCGAGTCAAGCTGCAATACAACTCTTGTTGACAATTTGCCACTGATAGTGCTAAGATATCTTCATGCATCTATATTATATATTTTGACAGAAGTTATGTTTCTTTATTTGACGCTGTATCATTAATTAGATATATATGTGGCAGGTCTTTTGTTTTGTCTTCATCTAATATGAGCATTTTGGATCAAATTATTTACCAGGGTAGCATGTGGTTATTTTTGACAAACTTGTGTTATATCAGTTTTGAGACCTCAGATTTTAAGACACAATCAATACTTATTGCTAAATTCTTACTTGATATGATGTATGTATGACTATAGAATAAATTGCTTATGTTGATGTAATAAGATGGATGAATATTTTTATGATATTAATGGTTATTAATATTGCATACTGAGATTACAAGTTTAAGAATGATTCATTTATGTGAATGATTACACATGATCATGATAATAGTTTCTTGTTATTTCTTGTTTATTTTGGATAATTGCATAATACTTTGGGTACTCCTTGTTAGACAAAATCCTTGTAAATCTGTTTCATGTAATTTGAAATGTTTGATGTACCTTCAGAAATAACTTGGACGAGTCAATATCAGCCATGTAGACAGGTTTAAGTGAAAAATATCAAGAAACAATCAGATCTGTTATCAAAGCATGTGTACATTCAGCTTCTTCTTTGGTACATGTAATGATTATTATTATTATGTAAATGTTCAAGCAGGTCCTGGTATAATGGAAATAGATCACTAACTGAAAAACATTCTAAATTTTGAAGCGTTTTCTGTCATATAGATTATCTTGTGAAATGTTAATGTTGAAGTACTTTCATGAGTAAGAAATACTAACTTTGTTCAGACCTTTCTCAATTAGAGATTAAATATTAATTTTTCTGATCTAAGCATGTTTCATAACACTATATTTATTGGCTGGCAAAATATAGCCCTTCTCATTTTAACAAAATCTAACAGATTTCCAAAGTGTCAAATGAGGTTTGCTGTATCCAATACACTGGTGACTGTGCAATGAAGGGAATTACAAATGGTATTGAAAGGCAAGACTACAGATGAAGTTGGTCTCCGACTTATTTCCTCCTTATTTAGTTCCCTATTTAATGTGTGTTTTCCTTGTTGATAATGAGTTTGATTGCCTCTAAATGCACCCTAAACCCTGCCTGTCTTGCACTTAAGGTAATTAACATTGTGATAATCCACATGCAGAAGAAAGAAGAGATTGTAATGTTGGTTGCTGGCCTTTTAATGTTCTATTTTTGGATTTATCTCAGAAACAATGCAAATAAGAAGCTTTTGCAGTAAAAACAATGAAATTGTTCCAACAACATCACCACTGTGTTTGTAATTGTTTTGGGAAGTGCCAAGAATCTGTTAAGTTAACCGTGCAGTCTCCTTGAAGGATGTCATCGGAGGCAAGCTGGAACTGTTGATGCAGTTGCTTGTGTCGTGACAAATAACACACAGACCCATGTATTATCAATATGACAAGTTCGTTATATTGGTGGTTAGAGGTTAGGGTTCAATTCCCCACATTTTCCCAAGTGTCCTTGCTGGGATTGTGCTACAAGCAGCATGACAGCATACTTGCTGAACTTCACACATCACACATCACACATCACACTGATATAAGTGAACTGTTTCCTGTTCAAACTGAGAGAGTGGGTTGGTTGGTAGGTGAGTGTTGTAAGCGGTCTACACTGAAATTTCTTAAAGTGGTAGTTTTTGACTGCTTGGTTTCCGTTTTGCTTGTGATTACACACACACTCACACTAACACTCACACTCACACTCTCACACCCACACAGTTAGTAATATTTGTACATTCATTTGAGGACTGGTATGACACGTTTTTCTTTGTTTTAAATCATGTCCCTTCAATCCTCTGATTAAGTCTCGTATCTGAGTGAAATTAGTAGTTGATACACTTGAGCATAAAAGCCTACTTTGCCACCAATAATGACTGCACATTTTGTTGAAATTGTTCTAATCCATTTGTTGCCTTTCTTCTTTCAAAAATGGAAATATTCTGATGTAAAGAATTATAAATATTTTGTAATTTAAGGTCCAGAAAGCCCAAACTTTACAGATTACTGGTACAATGTTGGAATGGTCATGACTGAGTAGTTTCAACCAGGGCATCGTAACAATGAATGGCTTTGCTGATTTTCGGGGTGCTTCAATAACTTTGATCACATCACGAGTATCAGTATCAACATCATGCGACCAGTTTGTACTTTTGTATCAACGAGTGAGTGAGTGTGGTTTTACGCCGCTTTTAGTAATATTCCAGCAATATCACGGCAGGGGACACCAGAAATGGGCTTCACGCATTGTACCCATGTCGGGAGTGGAACCTGGGTCTTCGGCGTGACGAGCGAACGCTTTAACCATTAGGCTGGCTACCCGGCCGCCCGTATAATCAACGAAGGAACACACGAGCGAAAGATGCCAATTTTTATATAAAGATATTATTATAATATATGAACAGATGACACGGACCAACATTGTCAGAAAAAGACGTGTGCACATGATCACGAAAATTTTACACCAAACGTGCAAATCAAGGCTGGTTGGTTTCTTGTTTAGCGTCACACTCAGCAATATTTCAGCTATATGATGGCGATCTGTAAGGTACCATAAAGGTATAGACACATTGTTTCCAACATTACAAACGGTAGTATTTCACATAAACAGCTTGAAAAAAAATACATTGGGTCAATTTCAGACTTAAAAATTTGGGCTGCAGGTGGCAGCACGTTGTAAAGTGGCTCACAAAGAGCTATTGGGAGGATGTTCGTCGATAGGCTCATGTATTGTTTTCCTTCCAGTGTACCTACCTTCTCTAATATATTGTGTAGGGGTATCTGCACACAATTTGACTGATACTACAGTTACAGTTTGCATTAATGCTTTATCAAAAATGGATATACAATTTTAATTTAATCAATGAAACACATTATGCAAACGGGGGGGGAAAAGTAACAGCTTCATATCAAGTTCAATAAAAATAAATTTATTCAGAAATTAAATGCATCTTTCAATACATATTTATGAAGACATCTCAACGTTAAGGCCGTTATTCACAATTTGCACGTGCATGTGGATTCACTGTGCTCAATTTGGATGTTTGCGTGCTTGTAGGAAGCGCGTGCTTTTATAATTTGATCAGCGTACATTGTTTAGCTGTCGGGTAGTTATATTTAACACTTAATTTAACCGTAAACAACACGGCTTGCTGAAAATCAACTTCTACGCGCCGTACCCATGGTGCAAACAGGAATGGCGCAGAACAAAGTTGCCAGACATTGTCAATATGTCACAATACACAATATCACAATATCATCTCTTTGGAGACCAACCGCCTCCGCGGTCTTGAGGTAGAGCGTCCGCCCGGAGAGCGGAAGGTCCGGGGTTCGATCCCAGGCCGCGTCATACCAAAAGACGTTAAAAGATGGTACTTGTTGTTACCCTGTCTGGCGCTCGGCATTAGGGGGCTAAAACAAGGACTGGTCGGCTCGGAGTCAGTATACCGTGTCTGAGTGAGGTATTCACGTTAAACTGCGGCATGGTATCTCAGTGTGCTAGCACTATAAATCGGCATCAGTCCGGACTAGTACAAGCAGCCACACACACACGTGCATGCACGTCGCTATATAAGTGCAATAACCTCGGACGCGACGTAAAACCCAATTTCACCTCACCTCACCTCTTTTTGGAGACGTTACACACAGCAGGGCAACACTAATGACTTGCCACTGGCCAGGAGTCACGTCAGCACAGTGCTCGGTTGTTAAATCTACGGAAATCTACGGAATCATTGCCAAACCGTCACATTAACAGCTCGGACAATTCGTGGGTTGAGACCCATTTCCCATTTTCCGTAGAAATGTATATTTCTATGTTCTCATTTCATGTCAATATGAAACACTGTCCTAATAGTAAATGGTTGCAAATAACATAATTGTAAATAAACAACATTTTATCGCCCTGTAAATCATTGCTTTAACCTGAATCCAATTATCCTATCTTCTCTGTATCATACGTGACTTAAAGTTTTGGTTTGGTTTGGTTTGGTATGGTTTGATTGTTGGTTAACGCCGCACTCAGCAATATTCCAGCTATATGACAGCAATGTAAATAATTGAGTCTGGACCAGACAATCCAGTGATTAATATCATGAGCATCGATCCACGCAATTGGGATCAATGACATGCATCAACCAAGTCAGCGAACCTGACCACCCGATCCCGTTAGTCGCCTTTTACGACAAGCACAGTCACCTTTTACGGCAAACATGGGTTGCTGAAGACCTATTCTACCCCGGAATCTTCACGGGTAATTACCCACCCGACCCGAGTACCCGAATTACCCACCCGACCCGAGTACCCGAGTTACCCGTCCCAGCCCTAATAGGTAAGTTTACAGACGGCACCGTGAACGTTTCGAGGAGGATGCTGTGGTGGCACATAATCGATTTGGTGCTGGTTCTGTAATTTTCTTGGGAGGCATTACATCCACTGCAAGGACGCAGCTTTACGTTGGAATCTCAGCGTACAATTGTGGTTCCTTTCGTGAAGACCAAGCGTCGCTTTACAAGATTCTTGGCTCACGTCTATAAATAAAGAAGGATGTTTTTAGCATTTAATTAAACATTCTTTTCTGTAATAAAGTTACATGAATCATTTTTTCACAAACGGACAGACTTTAAAGAAACATGTTTTCAGTATCAAATTGCAAATGAACAGTTGTAATTATTTTATTTCCAGTTCATCCTGACATCGTTTACACCACTTCTGTATACTTGCCTGTGGACATCAACAGTTTATTGTTTGTAAGAGTTACGATTGGTTGGCTTGTTTGTTGTTTAACGCTGCCCTCAGCAATATTCCATCTATATGACGGCGGTCTGTAAATAATCGAGTGTGGACCAGAAAATCCAGTGATTGATATCATGAGCATCGATCCACGCAATTGGGATCGATGACATGCATCAAGCAAGTCACGAAACTGACCACCCGATCCCGTTAGTCGCCTCTTACGACAAGCATAGTCACCTTTTACGGCAAGCATGGGATGCTGAAGACCTGTTCTACCCCGGATCTTCACGGGTCTCGAGAGTTACGACAGTCCAGGAGCGTTAGATACGGCCGACTCATTTGCATAACATGCAGGATGCAAAATGTCACTGATTAGTCACTTTCAAACATTGGCGGGTCCCTACTTGCGAGAACACAGACAGCCATTCGTCACCACAAGCTTGCAAGAAGACGGGTCCCCCTATCGAGGAATGTTATGTGCGAAAATACAACAAACCAATCAAAATGCGCGTATGACTTCAAGTTATTCGGTCAAAGAATCCCTCAGGAATATTTTTTATATATTTTACATATGCCTTGCATCTAAAATATACCCAAGATACAGTTAAATGTGTTCAATCATACTGTATAATATCGCATGTACCGTTGTGTTTTATATTGCATCTGATATATATATTGTGGGTCTTTTTAATGAATAAATATAAAAGAATAGTTAATAAAATCAAAGCAGTACATTATTTCCCTCACTGCTACATTGTATATATTATTTGGGCATCTGGAACATGGGGTTGGGCATGTCACCAGGGATAAATCTAGACCTGCTCAGGAGGCTGATATTCAGCCCCAAATCTGCATCAGATGTCAGTAAACTGTCCCTCTTTCAAAGTTTTAACATATCCTAAAATAATGCAGAATGTAAGGAAATTATGTTATTATCATTTCCCCCAATCTGTGTGCCAAGCGCACTTAGTTTGGAATTCTAAATTTAGATAAAAATCCCTGATCACACTTCCAGAATATTGGACTTAATAAACTGCCGACCGCCTCCGTGGTCTTGTGGTAGAGCGTCCGCCCAGAGAGCGGAAGGTCCAGGGTTCGATCCCGGGCCGCGTCATACAAAAAGACGTTAAAAGATTGTACTTGTTGTTACCCTGTCTGGCGCTCGGCATTAAGGGGCTAAAACAAGGACTGGTCGGCTCGGAGTCAGTATACTGTGTCTGAGTGGGGTATTCATGTTAAACTGCGGCATGGTATCTCAGTGAGCTATCACTATAAATCGGCATCAGTCCGGACTAGTACAAGCAGCCACACACACACATACACGTGCATGCACGTCGCTATATAAGTGCAATAATCTTGGACGCGACGTTAAACCCAATTTCACCTCACCTAATAAACTGCCAGTATTTAGGTTCGTGGATGTGAGAACAGTTGAAAACATTGAGAGGATCCAAGATAAAATGAGCACCTGTAACTGCCATAGTTATGGCAGATCAATCGGATCCATGTTCCAG